ACTATATTACATGTAACGTTGTGTTTGCTGGGTAAAACAGAAGTAGTTTCGTTGCCAGAATAAAAAAATTTGTTGAGTGTATTTGTCCTAAGAATCATTAATTTGTTATCGATTTAAAATAATGTATCCTTAGCAAATTTATTTGTTATCGGAGTAAAACTATACAACTGCTTATATAAATCCACCATGGTTATTACAACAAAATAATTTATACGTTCAATAAATTATATGCCTTTTTTTTAATATTACATCGATAATCAATATAATATTTTGATAGTGATTACAATAAGAGAACCGTTTGCCTATAAAAAAGGCACTCCAACTGCTTTTTTGTGTAAGTTATTATAATTTTTTTTAACATTATTGTATTTCTCTAATTATTTTATTTTTTATTTAATAATATATGTATTATTACATGTGTAGTAGATTAACACTTTAATATATAATATATATATAAAAGCACATTTTGCATGTTTGGATCGTAATTAAATATACCAATAATATAAGTATGTTGGTTTTTTTTATTGATATTAATTGCTGTATAGGTATCATTAAAATAAGAGAACCGTTTGTCATAAAAAGGTACGCCAAGGATTTTTTGTGTAAGTTATTATATAATTTTTTTTAATATTATTGTATTTCTGTAATTATTTTATTTTTTATTTAACAATATATTACTAATATATTAATAACATATTTAATTTATAAATATATTATATAATCAAGACCACATATGTTTATAAAAAAAATTGAAAAATGATTAATCATTCGCACTTGGCGAATGTAACCTCTTGATATCATTTCTTTTGTAGAGAGTATATAAAATTGTCTTGTATGTTTTAATAGTTTTTACGAAAGTATAATTGATCTGAATAAGATTGTTTTAATAATATTTTTCCAAATATCTTTTAACCGAGTTTTTGTTGTAATTTATTTATAACGATTTTTTTTGTAAAGTTTATAACGATTTTTTTTGTAAAATTGATTTATAATATTTTTTTGTGAAGTTTATTTATAACGATTTTTTTTGTAAAGAAAGTTTATTTATAACGATTTTTTTGTAAAGTAGAATCAACTTGCACGCGCGCGCACGCACAGGCCGCCACAGATACGATTACGTAAATAACATTTTACGTTGCTTTGTTGTTTTGTATGTAGTATATGCGTTACGCAATCCTCGAAGTCGTTTCGATCAGAACGAGATCGCGAGTTTCGTTCTCGCGTTGATAAACGCGTGTCCTGAACATTGCGATTTTTCTCAGATATTTTTTGTATTGTATAACATCTCTCTCATGTACATACACACGCACGTACATATGCACCCATACACAAATGTATATATATATATATATATATATATATATATATATATAGAGAGAGAGAGAGAGAAGAGTCGTCTAAATCGTCTGTTAAATCGTATTTTATCGATCAGTGCCTGGTTCTTTTTTAATGGTTGTTTGTACCCTTATAGGAATATCATACTAAGAATCATTGATAATTACTTATTTTCAGTATTAAAAATACTGGATAATAAGTAATTATCAATGATTCTTAGTATGATATTTCTATAAGGATAGCATACACAAAATAAGATTTGATCTCTTATTTATATTCCTCACTATTCATTTATTTCTCATTTTTACTTAGATGTCCTTCATATTCAATAATAATAATAATAATAAAATTGATGAGGATACGATTTACAAGACCAATACGATTTCGGTAACATTTCCCTATATGTGTATATAGTATAGGCATATGCATCTCGCACAACACAACATCTAAAATCGGGACATAAGATATCCCATGCTACAATTCTAGACAGAATCGTAAGTCTTGTAATTTCTTCCCGTAAAATCCGTAAAAACTTAGTAGATCTATAATTTTATACGTACTCTATGTTGTACACTCACTTGTAGATATCATAAATTATGTGAAATCGTAGATATTTACGAGTGATCGTACATATAGAATTATAGGTATACTCATAAGTAAGTTCTTACGAATTTTACAAGAGCAAGTTACAAATCTTACGATTCTGTTTAGAATTGCAGCATTAGGCTGCGCTCCTTTTAAATGCTGACGCGCTGTAAATGTCATTCTATCTTTGTCGTTTATTACATGCGGAAGAAAGATCGAATGACGCGCTTACAGCGCGTAAGCGTCTAAAAGGAACGCAGCCTTAAACACATCTCAGAGACGTTTTAGAGACGTCTTAAAAACGTCTTATATTCCGGCGTTTGAGAGACGTGTTTAAGACATCTTTTAGACGTCTTATGTCCCGATTTTAGACGCTTGTGTGGGATATATATGTGTGTGTGTATGTATCGAAAAACAAACTTAAGGCACTCGCACGTAGACACTGGATTCGATTTAGTCTGCATTTACTTTCGGCATGAAAGTTTGTGCTCGAGCGATTAGCTCCTTGACAATCAAGTCGACTAAAATCACAAGATGTCAATTACACAATGATGTATGTGCGGTTGCTTACACTACTACACTCTATATATTCTCACGCACAATTATATACTCGACATATACAAGTTTAACGAGACGTTGGAACCGCGTTGCGCACAGAGACTTTTATTCGAACGATTTCTGAGTTGCGGCTTAGACGACTCATTTTTTTGGTACATTGTCTGTTTTTTGGAAAATCAAAGTTTAGGGAGACGAAGGGAAGGCGTTAGGCCTTCCGGCGTGGCGGACGGAACTTCACGCGTACGCGAATTAGGAACTATGCACGGTGAATATTCCATCGAGAGAACGTTACTGTATTTATACGACTCTCGTTCGTGCGAGAATGCGGGAATTCGTGCGTCAGAATGCGGGAAGTTGTGCGGATATGCATTTTTGGCCGGAAGCTGAGAGAGGTCTCTCGAGAACGCAGAAATTCATCAAAGAATAAATCAGAACGCATGATATACGTGCGCGGTTCTGTCGCGAAGATCTCGCTGGTCCATCCGACGAAATGGAGGTTCTCGCGACTACCGCACGAGTTGTGTCAGGGGAACAACGCTTTATTTGTGTTATGTGTATTACAATAAACTCTCGATTATATGCGCGAACTTCCAGATCTATCAATCGCGTAGAATCGCCATCATACAGCCTTGTTTTACCATAAACCGAGGTTTGCATGTCGCAAACCTTGTTTCATCGCAAAGCAAACAATCAATTTCCAACGTTCAGTACCGCGATTAACCTCGTAGTACTACACCTAAGAAATTCGAAATTTCCGCTTGACTCATGATGAATTTTCCGCGAGACATTTCTGTGGTTCCCGTTACCCGAGGAACTTCAGTTTTTCCTCGTGAGTTATAATCGAGAGTCGCGACTGTACTTCCGTTTCTCGACTCAAAAATCTCTCATTCTCTCTCACACACCCACATACATTCTCTTTCTCTCTCTTCCATTACAATACCAATACAATATTTCCAATATAAATTATTTCCCGACATTTATTGCACCCCAGTATACATGGAACTTTCTTTGATCGGAACGCAAAGACAAGGGAATGATCTATAATTCCGGTTCGTCCGCGAAGGATTCGAGTGGTCCGCGCACACGACGCACAGAAAACGCCAATCTTTAGCATCCACGACGAATTCATCCTCGTCGGGAGGATCCGGCCGCGATGACAAGCGTATACGATGCGGCTCGCCTTCTCACAACTCGCGCTTCTCCATCATCCTCAGCTCCTCCAGATCTTCCTTAGTGACGTCGACGTCGCCGTAGCCCCAGACGTGGCTGCCGTCGCCCGAACGGCACGCCCTGCGACGGATCATCGCCGGCGAGACGTACTTCCGGTCGTAGGCCCAGCCGACCCACGCGAACGCGTCGATGAAGCCGGTGGTGATGTTGAAGGAGTAGTCGCCGAGTTCGCCGGTCTTGTAGTCCCACGGGAACACGTGGTGGTAATTGTGCCAGCCTTCGCCGAGCGCCGCGATCGATACCGCGACGTTCTCCACCGGAGAGATGTTTCTGAAACGATTAATCGGCTGATTAGCACGTTGGATCTCCTCACGGTTATCGATCACTGGTTATCGTACGCTGTGATGCTCAAGTTGCAAACAGCGTTGGGCATCAATCGATCAAAGTTCTCTTTGACCAAATCGGCAAGTCGATAATCGAAATTACTCAATAGTCATGTATGCATGTAATCACAAATAGTTTCACACTGATGAAATTAATAACTAATGAGTGTATAATCATACAGTTACATTAAAGCGTGATTAATAATTACGAGTGTATAATCATATAGCAACATTAAAGCGTGATTAATAATTAATTTCATTAATCGGTAAAAATATTGGTGATTTTATACGTGACGACTGATCAATTTTGATCATTAATTCACTGATTATTTTCAGTCAAAGGAAATTTTAATCGTTTAATGTCGATGCTTCAGATAGCATTCTCTTTTTTGTATCATTACATCGAACTTCTTATGGAAAATTTTAATCTGTTAATCGATTATGTATGTTGGCAAACGTGATAACATGGATATTATTGATCTTTTTAATAATTCTCCTAGCATATTGAGGCATAAAATTACTAGAGTTTTTGAGAAACATAATTTGATTAATATTTTGTTTCTTTTAATCAGGCATACTAGCAGTTTATTTTTTTCCAAAATGGTCCCTTTTATTGAATAATATTATTGAACAATTTTGTTGAATAATTTTTTTGAATAATTATCCCGTTTATTGAATAAATAAAATAAAAAATCAAACACTGGTTACGCGTATAAAATTAATTAATATCACATATTAAGAACAGCAATTTAGCTGTTATTATGGAAAAAAGAATTTGTTATTTTTTTAATTCTATACGTACTTGTCGTACGGCCGCTGACCCCACATGTGTGCAACGCTGTTGACGAAGAAGGCGATATTTAGCGTCACGCAAAAGCGGAAGTTGAAGTTTACCCAGAACGAGATCCACAACGATTCCGACCAATAGTAGTAGGGTATCATAACTGGCAATCCAATGGTTAAAAGCGCGAAGAGAGGGATGTACAATCTGCGGAGATATCAAAGAAATTAATATACAGATCGGATAACGTACGAAATTAAAAGGATAAATCGGATTGACGGAGGGGAAGGGAATGAAGGACGAACGCGCGCAAAAGCATGAACCACTCACCTCTTTTGCCACATAACTATGGGATCCGCTTCGAGATCGCTCATGTCGACCGCCTTGCGCTTGGCGACCACGTCAGGATGGGGTGTCGTGAACAGCCATCCCACGTGAGCAAACAGGAAACCTCTCTTCGCGTTATGAGGGTCCGCGTCGGTCTCGCTGTACTTGTGGTGCACCCTGTGATCCAACGCCCACGCGTACACATGTCTCTGCGGGGGAGAACGTCGAATGTTAGGAGGGAAATTCTGACTGAGAATCGCCGAGCCGTTTTTCCGCCCGCTTGGATTGCGTCGACTTAGCTAAGTCCTGAAAGGATTTCTTCGTCGAAGCGATATGTTGAAGTATTTAGAAGGAGGAACGCACGAGTCTCCTCGATTCGAGTTAACGACACGTTTAGAAGTTTGCAGAGACTCGTGAAATTTTTTACATAATTATTTTACGATTAATTAGGATAATTAAAACAAAGACAAGGAAGAAGATGCTTCGCAGGGGGATTTACGTACTTGTCCGGTGATCGTGAAGAGGAAGACTAGAAGCAAACGCAGGGGCCATTTCGCCTTGTACGCCCTGTGCGACCATAATCTGTGAACGCCGGCCGTAATCCCGAAACCGGACGTGTAAATTGTTACGAATGCTGTAACCATAAAAGCACACGTATCAGAATGTATATTCAAAAACGTACATTTTGGGACGACCAAAATGAAGCGACATTCCAAATTGTTGGGTTTGTTCCAATTACAGCGAATTCAAAAGACGAAATCTCAAGATACAACATAACATACACTCTATTATCTTGCACTTGATCTTACATCTTACGGAGAAAATATTGCAGCAAGAATTACAACAATTCTTCACTTACATTGTAGTGAACATTAAGTAATGAGGAAAATAGTAAAGAGAATAGAAGAACTAAAAAAGAATATTGATCATTCGAGACGTGAATCGCGTAAGCCATTGTGAGCGCAGAAACTCGAGACGCGTTATCGTTATCGTTATCGTGGTTTACTTTTCCGTTTTGCACGCCGTCAGGTACGCGATATGGATATAAACGACTCAAACATCAATCCGACTCGAATGCGTTCTTACGTAATCGGCTTCATTAGCTCTTTTCCTCTCATAGATACGTCGCCGTTCTACCTTTCCATTAATTTTTCATGGCCAACGTCGCAGAACGCGATACAATTATTCACGCAATAATACCGAGCCGCACGACCGTATATGTATGATTGTGTGCAAATGCGAATTTATTATTACAGCCGACACGGCGCCCGTCGTCTCGGCGCTTAATATGACGCTAACGTCTCTCTTACGGTCCAAATATCCGACGTTTTTAATATGCATATTCGAGATTCTAACGTGACCGAGAGACGACAAGATCGTAAATATAACGTCGTTTTTATTCCTGACTCCTAATTCGTGGTTTATTAGTCTATTCTGTTTCTTTGTTTCAAATACAAGCATTTTATTCTCCTATACGGAAAAAACAATTCTGTTGGTGCAACCAAATTTTCAGTTGCTCAGGAATCAGACGAAAACTCGGCTGTAGGAACAGAAAAATTCCTTTAAGGCTTCTGTGTAGTCAGTTGTTCTCACAAGGGACACTACCCAAGTGTGACACGTCATTTTTCTTGAAACTCAACACGCACATAGCATATGACATTTCATATGTGATATTTTATATCGGCCTGTTTTTTAATTTGCACAATTATTTAGATGATTGTTTAAACAAAAGTGGCGATAAAAATTGATATCTATAAGCCCATAACTTGTAAACCTAAAACATATAAACCTAAAAACTATAAGCACGTAAACTCATGTACTCAAAGACCATAGCTCAAAAATCCATAAACCTGTAAACCTGAAATCTATAAGTCTAAAGCCCATAAAAAATCGTATAAATAATTGTGCAAATTAAAAAACGGGCCGATATGTGATATAAAATATCACATATTAAAAATCATGTCATATGCAACGTGCGTGCTGAGTTTCAAGAAAAATGGCGTGTCACATTTGGGTACTTTGCTTAAAATATTTGATAAAAAATGATTGGATAGATTGAAATGGATAGAATTCCTATATTGATTTATACGATTTATCATGCATCGAAGCCGTACATAGACTTTCTACATATTTTAATCATATTTTATGATACTATTCTTTTCAATCATCTTGATATTGATGTTTGTATAATAAATTTATATTTCTGAATCATAGTAAATATTGCATTATATATTTATTTATGTACTTATTTATTTATTATTTCTTTATTATGTATTTATAATATTCTTTTATAATAATTTTACTTATAATGATAATTACAAAATGATCAGATAAAAATGAAAAGAATATCTATGTAATTTAACCATATCTTATGATAGTACTTTTTTTCATTATGTTGAATATGAAAGTTAGTATAATCAGTTTATATTTATCAATTATAGACAATACATGATATATGAATTTACTTAAGAAATTTTGTAAATAAGTTGTGAAATATGTGAATCATAAAATATGATAGACAAATTGTCTATCATTTTCTATCCAACATTTTAAGAAGGGCAATGTTCCTTGTCAATTGCCTCAACCGAGTTCTAACATCATTAAATGTTTAGACGAATATTTTCGATTGTAACAACAGAAATATTAGTTTTCGTAACAGAGATTCCCTTATAGAAATGTAATACTGATAAGTAATAATTTGGCCAGTGATAATTATTGAACGACAGTAATTATCACTGGCCAAATTATTACTTATCAGTATTACATTTCTATAAGGGGATACCGCTTCTGAGCATCTAGTTTTCAGTTGATTTCTATTCGGTTGCATCAACTGAGATTTTTTTGCGTGTAGAGGCTTTGCGTTCCGATTTTCCACTCTGGGTAGAAAAGTACTACAGAATATGTGACATATACTGCAGCATTTCCAGTATTAGTGCTCTCCGGGTGGAGAATTCGAACTACAGACCTATATACTACCCTTATAGAAATATCATACTAAGAATCATTGATAATTACTTATTTTCAGTATTAAAAATACTGGATAATAAGTAATTCTCAATGATTCTTAGTATGATATTTCTATAAGGATAGACTGCTAATTCCGACTCAGTACATAACTCCGAAAAATATGTACAGAAATCTCGCGCATGCGCCTATCTGGTGGTCCAACATTCATAATGTAGCATCTCGTTTTAGGCATTATTGCACTCTGATGTAGGTATACAATTGATCAATCACTTATTTTTACAAATTTTTTATTGTAACGCATTTCACTCTGTACGTACACAAATATTTAAGCAGGCGGCATCGGCCATATTACATTTATACTACTGTGTCCAAAAAGTAAGACCAATTTAAAATTTTTTTTTTAAATCTTTATTTATTATTCCAAATCTATTTCGTCGCCTTCAAAGTAATCCCCCTCAGACACAATACACTTATGCCAACGTTTTTTCCAACCCTCGAAACAGTTGTTAAAGTCGATTTCCGGAATGGCCTTCAAAGCTTTCTTCGATTCAGCTTGTATCTCTTCAATCGAGTCAAAACAGTGTCCCCGGAGCGGTCTTTTGAGTTTAGGGAATAGCCAGAAGTCACACTAAATCAGGTGAATATGGTGGTTGTGGAACGATATGGGTCGAATTTTTAGCGAAATGGTCTCGAAGAACCAATGCAGAGTGAGATGGCGCATTATCGTAGTGCAAAAACCAAGAGTTGTCTTTCCACAATTCCGGTCTCTTTTTGCGAATAGCTTCCAAGTCTTGACGTTTATGATGTGAAATTTGACGCAGATGTCTGTTACAGTGCTATCAATTTAGAAAAAAAATATTTCTGACATTCGATATACCCGCGCAATTTAACTTGAAAATTGGTCTTACTTTTTGGACACTTTTAGTATATCTCTTTAGTATATACTTTTAGTATATCTCTTTTTTTGGAACACCAGTTTCAGGCATGCGCAGATGCCTTTTTTCCCGTGCGTGATACATACTTTTCGAGGTCAGTTTTACATAGTACTATATAAAGGACCCACACAGCACAGAAGTTTCAAGAAGCTTTCAGAAAGGTTTCAGAAACATTGAACCTCTCTGAGATCTTTTTGAAATCTTTCTGAGAGCTTTTTGAAACTTCTGTATTGTTAGCAGTCTAGTAGTTATATTGAAGTCTGTGATTCGAACCCTAGATTAGATGCACGCACCCTAGATTACTCGATATTTTTTCCTATTTCTAATGCATGTGTGTGCTCCATGTGCGCAGGGCCTAAAGACAATAGCGGCGCGTCGCGTGCGAACCACGCGACCGTGGCGCGCGCAGTAGGTCGCGCGACCTTCGAAACAACAACACACCGTAGAGAGATAAATATGAGACGGAAAAACAATCATAATAGCACGGAAAGCGTTCACTTTGTAGACTCTTCGCTGCTGAGGGTATTATTCTATCTTCCTTGTGATAAGCAACAAAGATAGAATAATGACGTTATCGGCAAGAAAGCCGTCAAAGCTAACGTAATCTATAACGCGAAAGTGAACAGAGCGGGAGACGCGCACGTGTTACTTCCGACTTTCTGAGATCGTTTAGAGTGCGTGTGAGTTTCGGTTACGATGTTTCGCGCGAGTGGCTGTGCTCCGGGCATCGTGAGCTTCGAGATCATCCGGAAACTCGGAGGTATCGTATCTTATTTATATCAGAAGTAAAAGAGATTTGCCTCAGCCAAATAGAAGTGAATTCACGCGTCATTCGAAAATTCCAATGCCGGGAAATCCTTCCGAAACTAAAGAGATATAAAGAGTAGTCTGACTTAACCTAAAGATCCTATGTATCGAGGTGGGCTCGTGAAATGAATTCAAACATTGTTCGAATCTAATCTTCTCGAAATTAGAGAGAGATAAAAGTGGCTTAATCTGACTTAACTTTTGGTCTGTTCTTTTCAGTTGCACTGTTGAACTGATGCAATAAGTTAGAGTGAGAAAACATATACTTGTCTCACTTTAACTTATTGCATCAGTTCAGCAGTGCAGCTGAAAAGAACAGACCACTTCTCTAATTTAACTTAGAAATTTTCTGTCTTGAGACAGACGCACGAAAGTGAAATGAATTCACGCGTTGTTCGAATCTGAGGGAATCTTTTCAAAAGTAGCAAAGCGATTTGACTCTAACCTAACCTATTACTTTTGACCTTTGGCTCCGATCTGCTGAAAGGAAGTGAATTCACGCGTTATTCGAAACTAAGCAAATTTTTTTGAGAAAATTAGAGTACCCACACAGCAAGAATGTTTCAAATCTATCATAAGAATATCTTGAAGATATCACATATCCCAAATATATTTTTAGGATATCCCTATGATATATTTTGGACGCTTCTGCTGTGTGGGTAGTTTAATTTAACCTAGAGATTCTCTCAACTTTTTGCTGGGTTAAGCGGGTAGAAAAGTTAAAAATTGCTAGTTAAAACAAGCTTTAATTACATATAAATCAAAATTTATCGCGGTCTCGACATTCTTGACTCGGGGTGATTCGCAGAATAAATTATTAATCTTAGATATATTATCACAGTATTAATTACATCAAGTAATTCATTATTAACTATTAGTTTATTCTATTTCCAAAAAAATCAATAAATTTTCTTGCCCAGAGATTAAAGTTTTGTACATTAAGGATTAAAGTATTGTATAGTAGCCCAGGAGCATTGCTCAAGGTGTCTGCAAATTTTATCTTTATTTTTTGAAAGAAGTCGCAGGATATTAGTCCTTCTAAATGGTTATAACAAATAAAAAGAAACTGGTATCTTTATAATAGATACATTGAAGGATATACATTAGGGGCTAAAATATTGTACGTGGGACCTTAGAATATTTTACTTCAGCAAATAAGCAATATGCAGATTTATTTTTTATTCTTTGGAAAATCTCTAAGTAGAAATAAAAGTCACGGAATCCTTCTACATAATTAGAATTAGTAAAAAGAAAAATCCAGAAACTAAAATTGAGTCCAGCAGACCTTGATGGTATATTGGAGGTTAAATTATTGTACGGGAGATCTCAAAGTATTCTCTCTATCCTAGCAAATAAATAATCTGCAAATTTTTCTTATTTTTTGAAAGACCTCTAAGCAGGAATGAAAGTCACAGGATAGCAATCAAATTAAGTTCAATGGATCGTGATGATATATTGGGAGGTTAAATTATTGTACGGAAGGCCTCGCGGTATCTCTCGCGTCCAAGTGAACAAATTATCAGCGAATTTATTAACACGATTTCATTCGAAACGCGTTCACTCATATTCCATCCGCACGTGGTCGTGCAGTCATGTAGGCGACAGGTTGACAGGTAAGAGACAAATCGATCCGGCTTATCGATGCGGCGTGCTACCTGGTGGTCAAGCGTTAGCGCGCGATATTATTGTCATCGGCCGCAAATGACGTGAAATTACCGGCGCGACCTACATTTTTGCGGCGCCGTAATTGTACCGGCCGGCCTGCACTTCCTACACTTCTCGGATTGCGCGGTTCGTTCCGCGTATCGCGTAATAAACGCGCGATCGTAACGCGATCGAGTTACTCCCGCGAATTCGAATTATTATTGCTACGTGTTAGATCGACGATTAGACGAAGTGAGATAAAACGACGCACACCTGTGTACACGTACGTATACAACACGGAGATGCAGAGAGATAATACGCGATGACTTAAATAAGATAATGATATGAGTCATCGTTTCGGCTCGGTATTGTGATACGTGATTGCGAGCTAGTTGACTCGCGAAATCCAGTACTATGATGATTCAGCCGGGTCGTCGATAAGCACTTACCCTGCGTAATATTTGCGTGCGCTGTGATTATGTACCATTCCGTTCCAATAAATTGCACGTTTCAAACGTGTGTGGAAAGATACTCAGTGGTTTACTTTACTTTTCAATTGAAATTTCACTCCATAAAATTTAGAGAAATTTACAGAAATGAAGTTTATTTCTGTGAATAAACTTCATATCCCTCACAAATAAATTTTTAAGTATTTTTTCCTCAGTGTATCACGGATCAGAAAAGCTTGAAAAATAATAAAAAAATCTACATGAAAAATACTAATTTCACACACAAACTTCATGTCCCATAAATAAATTTTTAGGTATTTTTTTTCAGTGTATATAAACTTTTGAAAATAAGTCTATTCATTATTTTAGTTCAGTTAATTTCCAGCTGCGCCAACAGATATTTTAGTAACATTCATCTAGGAGTTTATGGAATTATTTCACTGAATTTCATGAGAATAAGAAAATGGGCTTTTTGAGAATTGCTTTTTGAGGAAAGCTCACTGTACTCTTTAAATTTTGTGGAGTGAAATTTCACCTGAGCAAAGTGACTACTAAATAACTTTTCGCTCATATAGAACGGATTCTCTATCGCCGAATGAATCGTCGAATGAATATTTTCACTCGAAATTGAAGAGTGAATTTGATATGCACGTCATGCAGGAATACATTCGCTCTTATTGATTAAAACACATTCATTCATAAGGTGACAGAACCCGCTCTAAATTCGAGTGGAATACTCATTCCCGCGACTTCGAGTGGCGACATATTCACTATCGCTTCGAGTGAAAATATTTCACTCGTTTTGAGTGAAATTGCCAGAAAATTTGGTTGGAAGCTTCATCGCCGCGGCTCTCGAGTCTCACTTACCCCACACCGTCGTGAGCAGCTTGGCCTGCGTGAGCGCCAGGTAAATCCCGTACACGCCTCCGGCGTGTATGAAGATCTGCACGACGAGGTCCAACCACTTGATCCGCGGCTTATACTCGACCTTGACTATCGTCGACTCATCGCCGACATCCTCGTCCTTCTGGATCATCGTTCTCTTGCTTTCCGCGTTCCCCACCGGCTCGTCTTTCCGATCTCTCCGTGTGATCACGTCGGTATCTGGCGCGGCGCAACACGCCGGTATCCTCTCCTTGTCCGGTGACATCGTCGACAGAAGAGTCTCTGCGGGTTACTCCTCTAGATGCGCTCGAGGACCATCTGCCGAGGTGGATCGTTGATCGTCGATATTTCGGCGCGCTCAATCGCCGTTTGTCATTTCAAGTAGCTGCCCGAGGTTGGCTGATTTCCGGGCGTGACGTGATTTGTTTATCAGTCACGACGTCGTATCTGGTATCGCGTGTCGTCGCCGTCGCCGCGCGAAATATCAAACCATCACCCGGTGCTCCGCTGGATGACCACGACGATCCGATGAATCACACCTGTAATGATTAATAATTGCTTTGTTCCTGCGTTTTCGGCAACAGCCGAGAGTCTCGGCGACGGTGACACGCGCAGCTCACACCCGACGACGACGACGACACGATTCCGGGGGACTCGCCGTTGTGAACTGCCTCGTGAAGAATAATCGTCAAGAACGCGCGGCTTTATGTAAATCGCGGCAAGGCTGCGTTTCGTTAACACATTACGTGTTCACGTCGCCGTGCGAATCGACCGAGCATAACCGCGAGAACACAATTTTCCACGTTGCCTTACAGGCAGCGACCGCGGCGACAGGTGCAGCTCAGCGCGCGTATCCTCGACCTAATACGCCGAATATACATTTACACAGCCGCGACCATAATTTACATATCATATTAATCAGTACTCATATTTTAAACATTTTTAATAGGAGTAGCAGGTTACTTTGAAAAATGTCCGATTGTTTTTACTTTAATGTTTTAATGCTGCTATGCAAGTTGTGAGTAGATTGTGTTTTTTGTTGTGAGTAGATTTTTATTGCAATTAATATAAGCAAGTTTCTTATATTCTGTTTATTCAGTTAATATAAGCAAGTTTCTTATATTATGTGTATTCAAAGGAAATATCGGTAATTGTTTAGAATAACTATTCTCATCTCCGATTTTGATGAAAATAGGCTCATTCGACACGTTTTTAAAATAAAAGAATCTGGCCGAAAAAAATGTCGCTCTGCCTCGCGAAGCGAGATTTTTAGCATTAAAGTTAGTCACATCCAAGGTTAAGAAATCCGAACGTAATGCGAACTAGACTTTTCTCTGCTTTAATCAAAAGCATAAACTCTGTTATAAAGCAAATAATATTTCATGTATGCTTTCCTCTGCTTTAATAATAATACACTATCTTATAAAAGTTAATAATTACCTTTTTATACGGGTTAAAATATAGATTTAACATTTCTTTAAAATAAATGCATCAGTGCAGCTAAAAAAGACAGACTCCATAGGGCAAGCGGACGTACACGAGTGCGTTGTTGAACGTATTTCAGTGCAAGCCTAGTTCGCATTACGTTCAGATGACAGATTTCTTAACCTCGGATGTGACTAACTTTAACGCTAAATATCTCACTTCGCGAGGCAGAGCGAAATGTTTTTCGGCCAGATTCTTTTATTTTTAGTAAAAACGCGTCAAATGAGCCTATTTTCGTCAAAATCGGAGGTAAGGATAGTTATTCTAAACAATTACCGAAATATCTTCTGATTATAGATCTATTAGAAAGTATTTTTCCTAATTATTTATTATACATATAAGATGTATGAGAGTAAATATTTCGTCGCGGTTGCAAATAAATAAATTCTTCGTACTATTTGAGATTCGTTTCTAATTTCTGCTTAATATAATTATTATTTCGTTGATCTAACACCCGGGAGTGTAGAAAATGCACGTCCCACTCGAGATGTTAAAATCGCCAGGTCGGAAAAAGTACGATTACTCACGCGGTACAATTGCAAGCGTCGTAGATATTACTTTTTCAAGGTGATTTCGCCATCCGATTATGAGCTATTTGTGTTACGAGGCGATATATGTCAACTGTTGGTTAACTTTGTCCGAACGTCAGACTGTGAGGATGACAATAGAACCGATCGATCGATTGATCAATCGATCGACAAGGCTCGACAACTCGAAAACAATTCGCTATCTAACACGCACGATTCTACAGTGTGTCGAGTCGGACAGTGTCGAATTCAAACTCGTCGTCGTATAGACTGACACTATTATGAAAATTAAAATTATAATTAAACATAATAAAAATGACCACAAACATATTTACTACATTTATGATAATTTTTATTGTATTCATGGTCACTTTTACTTTGTATTTACTTTGTATATTTCCATTATAGTGTCAGTCTATTCCCGGAATACTAAAATTGTATTTTGCAATTTTTATTACAATATTCTCTCCGTGTAAAAAAACGGGAATGTCAAAATCTGTCACTGCGATAAAGATTGTATGTTAATCTCTGGATGCAAATACGCACGATTAGAAGATACCAATAACCTAATAGTAATACTCGTTAAGGCTATTCTGTCGGTTACTGTGCCATTGATTAATGTAGCGCAGATGGTACAGTCGCTGGGACCGTCTTTAATCCGTTACTAATAATTGAATATTTAATTATTATTCATCTACATCTTATCTGCAGTAATATCTAATTGACGAAAATATCTCGATAACGATACTGATCGTCGAATCGATCGAATGCGGATAATATTATTATAATTTCTGCGTGTATGTATATATATATATATATATATATATATATATATATATATTCTGTGGCCCATTTTTCACATATAATTTTGTACACTGAAAGAAATTATCCGATAAAAAATTAACAAACGGATATTTCCAATCACATTCCGATCAATTGTTGTTATACTTGATCAGGATATTCGATTAAATTTTATCGGATATTTCCGATCATAATGGCATCAATTATGAATCGATATTTCTCATCGGATGTTTCCTGATCGGATACAAAAATTTATTTGTAAGGTTTTAAATTTTGTTAGGTTTTAATATCATATTTTTCTATCAAAGTAGCGTTCACCGAATATCGAGATCTGCATATTTGGTTGTAACAGACACATATATTATGGGACAAATTGACAATGACGAATCAATGGACACAAAGTAAACGATGTATTTTTAACACAGTTTACTCACGAGTATTTATAGTTGTCGATTGACAAACAATCACATAATTGCTTTCAACAGGGAGTCCGATAGAGCGCAGCCTTTACTTATTAACGGAGACTCGACTTTTTACTCGTGCAAAGTTCGATGGTAAGCATACGATAATAAACGTTGAGGTGACGTTAGAGTGTGGTCGGGAATTCATTGATAAAAAAGGAACAAGTATCGTATGATATTCTCTCTCTTCTTTCTTCTCTCTCTCTTTCTCTGTCTCTCTCTCTCTCTTTCTCTCTCTCTTTCTCTCTCTCTCTCTCTTGATAAACACATTAGCTAACTGCTCGAACAACTTTCGCGATTGGCTTAATTATGTCGACGCGCTTAATTTAACACGATAGGCACTTGTGGTTTCGGACCATATCGGACCTACAGGTGTATGCATAAAGTCAAATCAAATGCGGGTGGCGCGCGAACAATGAAACTTTAGGATTTTTTCGGTATTTTATCCCAAAAATTCAAAATCTTGAGATTTAGAAAGTCGAGCTATTTCCTAGAAAATTATAATACTGGAATTGCGGCACGACACTGTCGAAAAATACAACTTTTCCGAGATAATGATAATAATTTTGCTATTCACATCTAATTCGATGATTATTAAAGAAAGCTTTCAAGAAATAAAAACAATTGCGTATGAATAGGTGTGTCCATGATCGTTTGTGAAAGGTACACCTTGTGTGTGTGTATATATATGTGTGTATGTGTGTGTGTGTGTGTATGTATATATATATATATTTTATATATATAAATATCTTTATATATATATATATATAAATATCTATATATATATATATATATATATATATATATATATCTTTTATATATATATATATTTCGAAAAAAGTAACATATATGTATATCGAGCAGCTTTTCATGAAAGGGAATTTATTTGACGAGCAGGAACATGAAACGTGGCACCGTAATTGCCGACGAAGCGGTTGTTCGTCTCGTACACAATCATACGAGGTTATTATACGCGTGTAAGTTCGGTAACTTTGCGCGCGCTGGGTATAAGAGGACGCGTGGGCTTCACATTGATGCCGCCCTCTAACGAATGACGACATGTCCATCTTCTCGTCTTTGATGACCTAATGCCTGTTTTTTCTCAGGCAGACACCGTTTCCCGTTTCGTTACACTGAGAAAAAATAGCTGCTGTTTGTAACTATAAGCAAACAGAAATAATTACTATGATGCATGATCAAGGAAAGTATCCGTTTAATTAAATTCTACTATAATATTAGTGAGAGTAACATTATATGCATGTTACTACTACTGTTTTATTACAAAAAAACATAGTTGGGACCAAAATTTATATATGTGTTATGTTAAAAGTACCAATTCCCGGACACGTATCTAATCTTAGACACATTCTTGTTATTTTGATATTTAAATACGAATATTTAAACTTATAATATAGAATGTATGTATATACTCATTATTTGTATATATATATTTCATGTTGAAAGTTTAAATATTTATATTTTAAGATCAAAACAATAAGAATGTCCAGGATTAGGTGCATGTCCGGGCATTGATACTTTTACCTCATATCAGCACTCCAATTCGGGATATATTTCTCCTTAATCAAAATTCATTTTGGAAAATATTTCTAATCACTTTTATCACGGATCCCTGAATTATTGCGCGTTTCGTTTAGAAATAATTAGATTCGCTTTTTGTGTATTATATACATATTCTTTTTCTATTACGATTTAACGCGGTATTCATCTCTCAAGCAGTTTTCACTAGTAGAAAGTAACAACCTTGCACAATATTTTTATTAGAACGCGAGTAGACTTCAAATACACAATTCGCACACTACGCCCATCCTGGGTGGACGACTGTTATCTTTCACGTGACTGCCACATAATACGAAACACAGGACTGGTAATTTAATTGTGGAAATTAATCCGCGGGATTCAGCAACACGCGACACTCCGCCCGCGTCGACAACATCACGAACCACGTATGATCGATATTTTCCCGCAAAACTGTCCGCCGGTTTCCAGTATCGCGCTCTTCATCTTTGACAATGACGAACGCCTTCTATCGCCACGTATCAGTCACTCTATTTTCCTCGCTAACTCACTTTTGTTGCAGTTATCATTCATTTGGCTTACGATCTTCCATCGCTACGTGCCACTTTATTTTGCCCGCTAACTCACCTTTGTTGCAATTATTATTCATTATCATTTATTTGGCTCATTTAATTGCTGCGTTTACTTCGGTTAATTGCTGCGATTATGTGAAGTTCCAGTTTAGCCGTT